CGCAGATTCAATTGGGGAAAGAGACTGTCTTGGTTGTTGCTGCTGCGGTGGCAAATGATGGTGTTGTGACTGAGATTGATGAAGTTGATGCTGCTGTTGTGATTGTGAAGATGATCTGACAGATGGATAATTATAAGGTTCTTGAGTAATTCCTGATGATTGTGACGGACCAGGAATTAATATTCGTTTCAGTTCCCCAGAAAGCGAACGCGCTATTGAATGCTGCAGAGTATAAATAGGCATTCATTGTTAAGGTCAATAATTTATTCAAATTAATAGGCTATTTATTAAAATTCATGTCAAATATATAAAGGATATTCTGTAGATGAACGACCAGTTTGTTGTTGATCAGTATGAGGAGCGGTCAATTGACTAATGAGATTTGCTTGCATGCTTGCTTGCAATTGTTGAACTTGTTGTAATTGTGACATCGACACTGTAAGTTGATCAATTGATGCTTGAAGTCTAGCTATTGCGTTAGCATCAACACTTGAGCCAGACTGCGATGATTTTTGTGTAATTTGTTGTAAGCCCGTATTAAAAGTCCGATGAATCTGGTCAAACATAGCGTTGGTAGCTTTCTCATATGACGGAATGAGCATGTTGGTGAAATTTTCCCGGAATATCTCTTCAATGACTGGTCTCATGGACTTGGAGACACTCTTTGCTATGGAATCTATTACTGAAGATTTTGAGAGAACTCGTTGGACATTTTCCGTCACAGCTTTATCAATAGCCGCTGGAATACTCTAAAAATTTATATGAGAGCATTTAATGAGTCAATGGTGCATAAAATTCTTAACTTATTATATTGATTAATAACAAAAGGAATATCTGGCGCACACCTTATTAATCGCTTCAACCATTCCTCTATTAACCTGCTTATCAACCGAAGCAGCCACCGATTTATTTAACATTGGGACGACTTGACTTTGAATTTCACTTCGAATTGTCGATTCTAAGAGCTTGGAAGTATTATTTGTGAGAGACTTGGAAACCATTTGGAGAATAGCCTCTTGACGCTCTGTTTCAGCCACTTGATGAGCATTGCGTTCTTCTTCCAACCTTTGATCTATTTTTTTTAATTATTAGACATAATGTCATATTATATTAAAAGAAATGATCAAGAAAGCAACAATAATAAAAAGAGCGTAACTAACATTGTTTCTCCATTTCTTTGCCAAACATTTTCCCAATCTTATTGGTCAAACTATCTTCAATCTTTTTAAGCTCTCTAGTGAGATTCTGGTTATTATATATTTCAGGGGGTGTCGAGCGACGGAGTGCTTGCTGGGAGCCTTCATGACCTGTCAAGGGATCATATCCACTAGAGGTTGGTGGCTGTTGATTGTTTGAAAAAGCAATTTTTCCTCCAGTATTAACTCTATTATTATTTCCTAATTCGAGCTGATTATCGTTGTTTTTTCGTGATTTTTCGGCTCCACCAGAAATTTTTCCATTATTTCTGGAAGCACCACCGTCAAGAGATTTTTTCCCAGCGGATTTACCTGTAGTTTCACCCTCAATTCCTCCTTCTCTTTCCATGGCTC